GTAGAGTACATATCACTGTGCATGGTAACATTTAAGTTGTATTCATTCACCAAGTACAATGCCACGTCCATACAACGACGAAGGACGAGGGTCAAACAGAGTTCGTACAAAGTTAGAACAGAGGTCATCCCAAGACGCTTGATCGTACAATGGCGAATCCCCCCATCACATTTTCTCCCAAAGTGCATATAACGAACGAAAAACAAAACAAAAATTCCTCAAATTGTTCAATCAAACCCTATGCAAAACCCCAAAACGCTGCATTGATTTGGGTTACAAATACTTCACGTAGATTTTCCAAGGTGTCGTATTCTCTGAGAATCTCCGATAAAATCGCTCTAATTTTGAATTCAAAGTTATTCATCAGATACTATTCTCGATTATATTGAATATTGCATATCCAAAGCATTATATTGAGTCATGTAAATAAACACGCATACAAATTATATTGGTAATTATAACACGTTTCGAGCATTGGGCAACATTTTGTTAACCTTTTTGAAACATACACAAACGGTTTTGTCTTGACTGTCAGAAGACACAATCAACACCACTATTTGTTCAATTCAGTACTGGACATTCACACGCAGTCATGGCTCAATTGTTGTATGACATGTGAAGGTAACCTCGTGCAGTATCTCGTTATAGTTTAAAATCATAAGACTGTTTTAAAACAAATATACAAAGATAGATTTGAGTTGATTTCATACAACGGGATGGGGGCTATACTAGAAATGGACATTTATATGCACGCATGCATACATTGTTAGCATAACCGAGTCATGCACATTGTTCTATTATCTCTTGATGGCGTGGCGATGGAGACTGCCCTTTGTCTATAGCGGGAAAGCTACGTCAAATCACGCACACAAACGTGCCAAGTGATTATAAGAGTCTATTTTTGTTTCTCTGTTTATCTCACCTTGACGAAAACATTACATAAAATGGTGTACTACCAAATTGTTGACATGAAAAAACGTCCCTGATGATACAACCATATGTCATGAAATTGATTTTTTTTAAATAATTTTTACAAATGGGCGAAATCTCCATGAGGTTTCCAACATTGACAATAAAATGAAACCTGACCCGTCGTCGACCGAAGCGTACTTATCGGCCAGCACAAGAGCAACAGTTGGAGCCCAATGCTACTTAGTGCACCATTACCAATGTGAACTGTTGACCTCGGGTGTACACGCGAGTTCACACAGAGGTCATCGTTTTCGAACGATAACAGCATCTTGATTGCCCACAACCTTAAAAGCTTGAGCAATAATGATTTCTTTTCTTTTCTTTTTAAGCATTGACCATCTTAATTATCTAGCACTTTATTTTCACCATTTTAGAATTGTTTCCCTGTTTGTTTGGAGGTCTTTGCACATTGTATTATGTACGTTGCAAATAAAATATCCTATTCAATCCTCAGGCTGCGTAAACTCTCCGACGGGACCGTGACCAACCGATGACAACGGAACCATGACCCTTCCGAATGGTATTGCAGTGACGCCGAGTCGAAATACAAGCTTGCAATGTTTTTAATATATTGCACTTTAGTCGCGTTCTGGCTACACCAAGTACGGGCCAAGATTTAAGTTAATCTCATATGTTTGCATATTGCCTGTATGTTCGGGGTGACAGTTAACACGGGCTAAAGAACACTCAAACTGTGGTTACTCATATCAGTACACTAACCAGAAAGGTATATATGTTAGTTCTACGGTCATAAAACAATAACAATGTTAATTCAGTGCAGATTGCAGAATAACATAACGTAGTGAAGAGTCAGTCCATTTTTTTTCTAGAATAATGTCAGATTTAGATCGTAGTTACCGCTTTTAGGCCGTACTAAGCGTTCGCGCATGTTTTCTTAGCACGAGGTAACGTTTTTGACTACTTAGCCGGTGTTAAGGAGCTGTTATACGAAGGGCATGTAGCTGCTCATCAAGTGGTTACCAATGCTATGCGAAGGGCATGTGAACAATAGAAAACCCAGGGATGACCTTTTTACGGCATTGACTGAGTGAACAAAATGACGCTGTTTGCCAAGTGTGCAAATGATTAACGGAATTACGTTTCTCACTGACGGAGCTCAAAACACATGACGGTGTATTTGGCGTTTTGGCCAAAAATCACTCTTTAGTCACCCTATAATAAACAGAGATTTCTACGGTGATCCGGATTTCCAGTTGATAATTCTATTCCTAGAACAATGACAATTCGTCGAATGACTTGCAAATTTTTCGCCAAGTTCAGCACCTAATAAAGACGCATATTGTGGGCTAATGAATTCCCTAGCACTTTTGATATCCAAGTGCCTCAAAATGATGGCAACACTCAGTGAAAACTAGTCTATTGGAATCATATTGACGCGCATTCAAGTTGCAAAAAGCAGAACTTTTCGTGTCGTTTCTACTCAACTTGGTCATTGTCAATTACTGCGAAAAAAATAATTTAATTTCATTTAAAAAATATCACAGCAACGGTCAGTGAACACAAATTATCAAACCAAAGTGCCCCCTGGTCACAGCTGCCAAAAGGTCATTATTCTTTGAATGCGCTATTCATATCTGAAATATCATTCGTTTACATGCTTACACGTGGTCATTCTCACCTTTTCAAAAACAAAACTCAAAGACCAACTATACACTCATGACGTCACGTATAAACATCGAACTCAGAACTGCTGGTTTATGCTACAACTAAAAGTAATCCCGACAAAAGTCTGGTTGTCTATGGGTGAAAATAAACCTTAAGTTGTTATCTTTATCAGGACATAAATTCAAAGTTAGTGCGAGCATTGTGACAGGAAAAGGCAATAACATAGAACTGGAGGTAGTCCCCGTGTACTTAGATGGCCTTGTTAGTCCTCTATTAAATGACTTTCCATCGAAGCGTACTGATTGTATCATCAATGGCGAATATCGGTCAAACGAACACACGCATGCCCTTCAAGTTATTAAAAAGGTCACTTGATTGTCAATGTACTCTCCCACGCTTTGTTTCCATGATAACATCACGTATTATATTTTCTACTTTTGTATACCCGTGGTTACTAAAAATGTAACCGTGGTATACTCACAAGTTCAAAGTTATGAAGTGGCAGCGTGGCATGAGATAACAACAGTACGTGGAACTATGAAACTCGTCGTATCCGTCATTGATTTCACTTTGTCACGTGACAGAAAGGAATTCCACCCGGTACTAAGCATTTCTACATTCCATACACCGAATCGTAAAATGTTACGGTGCCGTATAATCAAATGGCTATTCAAGGATTTAGGTGTGGACTTTTATTTTATGACCAAGCGGCGCTTTGGTTCTCTTCCTATTGACCCCGTCGGATATAACAGTCCAAACATTGCATCACAGAACGTTTACAACTGACCATTAAACATTTATAGGTTTTTAGAGGAAACTTCAAACGTATTGATGACTGGGTACTGTATACGGCATAGTAATCAGGTGCGATATTCAGCTTAACACTATGCCGCATCGTAGTAAGGCAACAACTAACACACAAACATCACGCTTTCCCCAAAATCATTGACATGAGTTATTAGCTGCGTGACACTGAAGCCCTGCACTTGAACTGTTTTGTGCCGATGCAGATGAGTATACGAAATGCTTGATACAGATATAAAACATAAAGGGAATTATGAAAGTGGACAAGACTGGGGAACAGTTACATAATTAATTGCAATATTGTAAGAAGACGTCTTGGCAACAAAATCAACGCCATACAGATTGTTTTCGATGCAATTCTCTGTCACCTCGGATCTCATACATAGAGTACGACATAAAATATGTTTTATGTACATGCATACAAAGGGGAAAAGTGAATGGCCAAGATTGAACCTGACACTTGTTTGACCCCTCGAATCTGTAAATCGGATATGCGCACACACAACCAGATCATTGACCTTGTGCTGACCTGAACCCTAATAAACAATAGCAGATTAACCTAAAAAAACATGTATTGGCGAACTGACGTCATGCTTGTTTTGTTGTTTCCTCATAGTCGAGGGGCCCGATTCAAGTGATAAACAACACCGTTTTCCAAAGAACGACATTATTACTAACAACACAGATATTTCCTGTATTCTGTATATTTATCCGGTCCCCTCACCTTAACACCTCCTTGACCCAATGGCCTTCGATTATTTAAGGTTTTGGCGTACATGAACTTTGCTTGGCAACAGTCACGGGAAAGTTCGTTGCTAAGGAACTCCGATAAATGTTTTATCTCTCTGAAAATGAATGTGAATATAAAGCCAGGCAACGCCGCTGAGAGATGGGCCAAACCAATGAACATAACGTTCTGCTTGTATTTAAAACAGAAAGTTTATAATTCTAAGTACATATTTTTTGCCGGCGCTAGTTCGTCATTTAACTGGTATTCAGTTTAACACGTACAGAGATTGCGTGTGTAATGACATATTGCACAATAGTTGTTATCAGGGGATAGTCATTGTTGTCAAAACACCCTTACAACGCCACCTTTTTGTCGCCACTGTTTTACATCACCATAATGGATTCATAAAGCATGTTGTGATCCCGGGGCAGGCATAAATCTGAGCTTCCGATGACGTACACGTCAGTCACGCATTCACCTATTGGGTGTCCGCTGGATGAACTAAGCTACTTCATGACTATTCATGACTGAATAGCAACAACCTATATATAAGGGAAAGGA